ATAAAATATCTTCCAAGTCCGTATAGAATTGATAACTCATACTTCAAAATTATAATACAACAAACTTGATACCTTTGTCACAAAATCTCAATAATTAAACTAAATTTTGGAATGAAGAATTATGAATCATTTATAACATTTGAAAATAATTTTATTTTAGGTGACAACTATGTATATGAGAAGAAATATTTAATACAATAACTAAAATTGTATTAAAGAAATGTGTTTTCATTAAAATATAAGATAAGAATTAATATTAAATATATTTAGTGACAAATTTTTTTCAATATTTCTATATTTTTAATTTTATTTTCAACAGAAGGATCTTAAAAAAAATAACACAATATTACATATTTTTAATTATTTTTAAATAACAAATTTTTAAAACTACAAAAACTGAACCTAACTAGAAAACATTAGTTTAGTTTGTTTCAAATTTCATAATACATTTAAATCAAATCAAATCGTGTTACACTTAATTTTCTGGTTTGGTTTGAGTGAGTTTTGTGCAAGCATTTCTACTTATACTTCAGAATGTATCTATTGCACCTAATAGAATTATTAAATCTTACGTTCGTTTGTTCTGCAGTATACTGGTAAATAGTTATACATTTGGAAGATATATCGGGTTTATCAGCTACTCAATCGAAATTGTGTAAAAAAACATGGGGAAAATGGTCAGTATATATGCTTTCGATCCATAAATCAAACCTAATATGATTAACTAAGACAAATCATATATAATCAAAATGAACTTATTCAATAGGTAGCCCCCTCATAGTTGTATACTATATCCTCCTTTGAGTGTTGAACTAATTCCTATATTTGAGATGAAACCTATCTACTATATCCAAGCTCCATCTCGTTTAGATTTCAGTATAGTCTGGTTGAATTATGAATATGGAAGACAATTTGGTTTTAAGATGTGATTCAACTGTTGGATGGATATACCTACCAATTTCTATTAGATATCCATTTAATATCCAATGAACTATAAGGTAATTAAACACATGATCAACATATATGTTGATGTTTACGGACAAACTGTATTCTTATTTTGAAGGGAAGACAAGTGTTTGATTTCGTGGGGTATGAAATCTCAATCGGTTAAGAAACACATTAGAATAATAGTTACTTCACTATGTGTTTCAATGTTTTATTTGACTTGCCATCTGCATGGAATTGAAGAATGAAAAACAAAGGCAGACGGTTTGGAAGTAGTTTTCTTGATGCTATACTTACACGGCATTTGAATTAATCCTTAAGATTAAAACTGATTTTGACAGCTCTCTGACGACTCTCTCTCATAGCCATCAAAATGACCAGTAATTAATTAATAGCAGACAAATTTCAATAAAATTGAGGTCGTGTTTACCAGGTTTGCTGTATTCTATATCCTTTTGTTATAATCAATTAGAGTATCGTTAAACTAGTTAACCTCGTCTTTTTTTTTTTTTTTTTTTTTTTTTTTTGAACGGCTAAGAAAATTTTCATTAAAAAAGTACCGGTGGTACCAAAAGAGAAATAAAATAGTATACAACATAACCAAACATACCAGTCTCGTGAAAGGAATAATTATGTCAAGGAAACTACGTACCAAACATGTAGATTATTTTGCATTGCCATCAAAACAATTTTCAAACAATCTTACATCACATATAGATTAATTCTCTACTTGATGGCTATTTGGATCTGAAACGATTAACATACTTCCGTAACACATTGCAAGTATTTTATATTTGACCGGCGGACAAAACACACTTCTTGTCTTCTTGAATTATTTTTAAAAATAATAAAAGTTATATAATAGTAGGTATTATTAAAAATATTGAAGTGAGTATTATGAAGTAAGAGAAATTTAGAAAGTAAAATCTATGTGAGGTAGGAGCAACAAATTAATGGTTGGATGGAATAATTTTTTTAGACAGATTATAAATTCATTAAAATTTCACATAAAAATCAATCTATCCAATTTATTTAAAACAACAAATTCATTCAATCCATTCATTAACAATTTTTTCATAGATGAATATCCGATCCATTCATAAAAATAATATTTTTAAAATTAAATAATTTTTATTTTTGAAATATTTTGTTTCTTTCTCTTTTCTCTATAAATCATTACATTCTTATATATAATTTTTTTTTAAAAAATTTATAAGACTTATTTTTATGCCAAAATAATCTTTTAAATCTCAATCTAATAAACACCTCATATTATAATCCATAAAGTTAAATAGATAAATTACATCTGATCCATTATTTTTTTATATTATAATAGATGAATTAGATGAATTTATTTGTGGATGGATGATAGATAAATGAATTTATTTGTTGTAAGTTAGAACTGGTTATAAAAGAATAAAATGGTTCAAGAAATGTGTATATATATGAAAAAGACTTATTTATTACCTTTATTATTGTTATAGATTACAAGAAATCAAATGTATGAATTAATTAATCTTTAGTTCAATAAGCTTAAAAATATTTGTGACAAAATAATTTTTTTTTAATTACTTAATATATAACTATTAAGGTCTAGTACTCTAATGATGAAATTTGGAGTAGATACATAAGGTTTTAATCCTAATTTTTTTCTTACATATCAAAAGTTTAGCAATGCATTCTTCTCATTATTTTTTTTCTTCTGTTTTTTACCCTTCTTTTCCGTTGAGCTTCATGTGCTTTTCTCCCGGACCACTTTAATGATAAGTCCTACCGTGAACTGAAAAAAATGGAAACATATTCTTTCTATTTCTGGCTGTACTTTACAAGATGCAAAAAGAGAATTAATGGACACATCAGAATAGGTGTTAATCTGTCAACTTGATTGTTCCCGTTCATATCGAAAAATGGTATAAATTAATTTACTCGTCCAAGGTCAAAATTATTGAGGTCACAATTATTAGATTTTGAAACCTAACGGTGAAAAACTTGCTTGAACCAACTAAAAAAGAAAACTATTGAAAGGCACTGTTAAATAAAATTTCTGCAATACTATAAATGAGCATAAGCAACCCCCCTCCTCCAATTGGTTCCTGTGATACCTCGTCCATTGTTTTTTCTTTCTTTCAATATTTGGATCACAATTCACAAATCCTTGATGTTTTCATACGAGACAACGTGCATAATTCAGATTACGTAGAGTGATCCTTGGTACAATAAATCCTGAAGAAATAAAGATGAGGAAAGGAAAATTTGAATTAAAGTGGCTGAAGCCATTTATTTTTGTACAATTCATTTTAAGGGGATGTTATTCTATTTTAATGTTTAGGGTATTGAATATTGTAAAGTGACAAGGAAATTAGGCAATTTTAAAGGTTTAGGTCTTATCTACAATAAGAAAACAAAATCAAAGGAATATTATCTGTCTCCTTTTTTTTATATATAAAAATGGCTTAACATAGGCAGAACGAATTTAAATATTATAGTTTTGGTTATTTAAATATATATTATAGGAAGGGGAAGGGGGAGGAGAGGACAATTACATTAATTTGATTTTTTAGGGATTCACATACAAATCTAAAGTCTTAAATGTTTCAAGAAAATTTATAAAAACAACACCATGTTAGTTTTTCAAGGGAAAAATATTTTAGTTATAAAAAAAGAGGGAGATAGAAAATAATGAAAGCATTGAAAGGTGATGATGATATATTTAAAAATGAAGTGTACGAAAATATTGTTCTTTTTAAAGAGGTGCTTTGTGCCTCAGGTATGCTCATATATGTCACCGCCAGCACATTAGTTCCATCTTTGGTTACATATTCAGAAATTCTCTACCATGAAGAATTAAATTGATAACAAAACTTACTCATATAGACGCAATACTTCAATCTTTACTCTGATCCGTCTGCAAGATATTTATTGTCAATGAATTCACTGAATTATTTCATATATCCTACAAATTGATTATCATTGCTCAATCTATTTTTGCTAAGGTATAGCAAGCAAATCGCTCTTACAATACAACTAACAAGACGAGGTAATTGGGGGTATCTGAAAGAGTTTAATAGTACATATGCAATATTTTTATAAGTTGTTTTTAATTATTTTAATAAGCTTTCTTTAAATTTTTCAAAAAGTTTCACTGTTTAATCTATAAATACATTCTAATAATTTAATAAAAACTTATTAACAAAATACTTAATAATTTTGTGCATCTAAACCGCACCCATCCTAAATGTGCATACCTTTTATATCACCAGATTAATTCAATACTGTCATGTTTCTAATTTAGAACATGATGACTTTGGCTTTACCAACTTTCTTTTACATTAACTAATGAATATGTGATTTGTTAATTTTCATCCTCTGCACAAGTTCGTAGAGTTAATATAGCCGGATGAATCAAAGGGGGCAAAGTTAAACTGATGGCAATTCAATTTCATTTATATGAAAATATAGGAGAATATTATCTCCCAATTACTAATTAGATTCATTTTTATATCGTTTCAATTGCAATCTACAATCGCCATATTAATTTTTTTTAATAGAATGAAGTACAAAATTTTCAAGATACGTACAGACACAAATGTGCTACCCTATCCCGTACAAACACAAAAAAAAAAGAGGGTACGTATACACTAATACGCATTGATCACATGTTGATTATATTGTATCTCCATTGTAGAAATAATTTCTTGGAAGGATTTTATTTAGCATAATAATAACTTTTTAAGATCGACAATTCTCCAACAACTTTATATATCTATCGATATTGCTTAGAAATTGCTTCATTTTATCAAGGTCGCAATTACCTGATGTGGGAAATCAACCACAGTCTTCGATCAAGGAGAGACGTCCCTTTAATAAAAACTATACGGTAACCAAACAAGTGGATTTGATTATTAACGTGGTGCGATGGTTTATATAATAATTGAAGGAATTTGAAAAGGAACGGCAATAGGAATTTCATTTCTTTTTATTTGTATTTATTCTTGTGAAAAAGCAAAGAGGAATTTGATAAAGAAGTTCAAGGGCCAATGACATATAATAAGGTCTCTATTTAAGTACATGTACACTGTCGTGTGAAGACAACAAAAGTGACTTACCATCCACAACCCTAAACCAACCCTCTCCCTCCACTTTCTTATATATCTTGTTCGAGACTTCTCTCTTGTGTGCTTGATGCTCAAGATTTGTCGCCTCCATAATATCGCTACCGTGACCCTGCATCCACAGTAACAGTACCCTTTCGATCATTCCATGGAGGATTCTTCAGCTGGTGAAGACACCAAGACTTGTCCTCGTGGCCACTGGAGACCCGCTGAGGATGAAAAGCTTAAACAACTTGTTGAACAATATGGTGCCCAAAACTGGAATTCAATCGCTGAGAAGCTCCAAGGAAGATCAGGTATAAATTGTTACAAATTAATCTCAATTTATATTGCATACTAATTCATCTCATAACCTTCATCGATCTTTCTAGCTACTATTTCCAACATAAATAATCAAATTAATTAAGTTGGATTAATTATTACCATCCTCCTTGTTAATTAAAATTTTTAGTGAAATAGTAGAGGATCTAATTCAAGGGTTTATAATTAATTAGCTTGAATAATTAATACTATTGCACCTAGCTAGCTAGAACCAAGATGATTCCTTAAGCACTTTATATTGTTTGCATAAAAATCATGTGTTGTATCTGTGTGTGATTAATTAATTAATCTTAATCACATGATCATGTTTTGCAGGGAAAAGTTGCAGGTTAAGGTGGTTCAATCAGCTTGACCCAAGAATCAACAGAAGACCATTCACGGAAGAGGAAGAAGAGAGGTTACTCGCAGCTCATCGCATTCATGGGAACAAGTGGGCACTCATAGCGAGACTCTTCCCTGGTAGAACTGATAATGCTGTGAAGAACCACTGGCATGTTATAATGGCGAGAAAACAAAGGGAACAGTCCAAATTATGTGGTAAGAGAAGCTTCCAAGACGTTTACAACGATTCCAACAACACTTCCTCGTTCCTGGAAAAGAGAACACCGCAATCTCAAGACCTATTGTTCAGTACGAGATTCGGGTTGGAGAATGGAAGATTCTTTGACTTCCGAAGCCTCGACAATAATAAGGATAAGGATAATAATAATAATAATCATAATCATAGGATAGTTGCAGATACTCCATCTAGTTCTCTGGCGTCTTGGAATTTTGCTTCTGTGCCAACCACCACAAACGGTTCTACTGTAGTGGATAGAAAAGGAGGGAGAGACTATTTCAACAGTGCTTCTTCTGATATTTATCTCTCGGAATGTTCCAGAACCTCGGATAGGTCCTTTCTTTACAGAATTTATCCGAATCCTGCGTTCTCGCTTCCAAACTACAAGAGGGTTGTGCCAAGTCCCTTTGGCTTCCTCGCTTCTTCTGATGATGGAATTGGAAGGATAAAGAGGGAATTGATGAGTTTCGGGGATAACTCATCCACATTCTCAAAGTTGGAGAAAGATCATCAACAAACAAATGAAGATGAGACCAATACCGAGCCCAAAGAAGTTCCCTTCATTGATTTTCTTGGTGTGGGTGTCTCTTCATCATAATGACAACCAATGAAGGGTTTAATTATTTAACTTCCTATGTTAATGATACTTCTTATATGATCTTTAGTTTAATTAGCTTTCTAGTTTTCACCCCACCATTATGATGAATTCTAGCGATTAGCAAATAGCATGTCTCTAGCTCGTACCTAGTTTAGTTTGTATCTGCAGAAGGCTCTCGTAATTATGAGGCCTTTCGACGTTTCTCAGGTTGTGTTTAGAGTGAAAATTTTCCAACTTATTTTGTTCATAACTTTAATTTTTCTTGTCCTCGTCTGAGGATTGAAGCCTTGAGTGTTGATGATCTTGTTAAGGTGTTAAGGGTAGTGATTAGTGTGAGAGATACACGTTTGCTGCGCGTGGCTTGGAGTTGGAGCTCTATATATGAGTATTTAGTAAGTGCAGAAGGTGGTATTGAAAATTTGCAGACATTGACTGAAATGTGTTGTCTCTATATATGTAATGGCAACTTCGATTCTAAGCTCTCACGAAGAATAAAAATGGTGCCTGATACAGCTATCTTTTCTGTCATCGTAGCATATATATACATATAAATTACTAAATAGGATAACGTAATGGAGTGTAGGTGTAACTTCTTAATGAATGCAATGCATGCATTAATTCTTCCTTGCTCAATAATTCACGAGATTGATGATGACGAAATATTAGTCCTTGATGCATGTGTTTGCTGTAGAATCTTATATTAGGAAAGTAATAAGTTCGTAAAAGAGTTTAAATGGTATAGCAAAGTTGTTTTTGATGCTATATATGTGGTTTATTTATTTATATTTCGAGAACCACTGGGTACGATTAGGTTAATTATAATCACACAGAATGGTTTTAAATGATATCACTTTAATTACATGTTTTGTTAGTATTGCCGAATGCATGTGCTCGAGATTTCAAAATTATCATTTCATTTTTCATGAGGCTAGCTGTTGTTTCGTATCTATATACTATTTATAAACACGCAATTTCTTTGGTTGAAAACTAATTCATAATAGATAGATTTCAGAATTTAGAATATACATTGCGCGCCAAAATTATAATTTTTTTTTTGTTGATAATATGCCTAGCTCATTGTTATATAAACACGGTTATTAATTTCGTGTGCTGGAATAATTTTTGAGAATAGGTAACTTTATTTTAAAAATAATTATTTTTTCCTAACAATGTTTAAGTAGAGATACATATAAAGTCGTTCCAAACCATGAATTTGGTATACAAACTTAGTAACGATTTTCTTCCCCCCCCCCCCCCCCCCCAAATTATGTAAAAAAAAATTGATACAATTAATCCTTAACATTATTATTATTTTCGTAAGAATTTCTTTTATCCATCATATTACAAAAAAGTTTTTATATCACTTTATTTTCTGTTTTTTCTCCTCGATCGAATACCAAGATGCCTTAATTACTATTTATGATTCAAGTAGGTTAAAATTGTAATGCGTTTTAACTTGGTTTCTTTTTCACAATATATATATA